GCCCCAAGCCCCGCAGGGCCGTGCAGAGCATCCCGGCTTCCCACTCAGTGATGGCATCGGGCACCATCACCTCCGCAGAGCCCCTCTGCTTGCGGGGCAGTAGAAGATGGACAGACCTTGCAGGCTGGGTCTGATGGGCAGAGGTAGCAGAAGGAGCATGCCAACCCCCTTCCTCTGGGTCCTAGGGGCCATTGGTGGCCATCACACACTTGGAGATGGGCAGAGGTACCATCAGTGGTCTTGTCTCTTAGGGCATCCCCTGCCCACAGGACAGACTGCCCCGGTCTCTCCTGGGGTCGGCGCTGAGGTCCAAGGGAAGGGGCTGGACATGTCTCAGTGTCACTCCTGGATACACGGACACTGAACCAGAAGTCTGGGTGCTGCACCCAGAGGTGGAGGTGATGCAATAAGGGCAGTCCCCTGATTTGAGGTCTGCTGGGGCTCCTTACTCACCCCACAGGGACCAGGTCCCACAGCCATGTCCTCAAGAAATCCATCTGCATCCCTGTGTCCTGCATGACACCCGCCTGCTCATCCTCCTCCAGTCCTGCTCCTGCAAACAGGGGCACGACTTGAACGTGCTGCCAGAAAGGATGGAAAGAGGCAGAACGTCCCCACCCGTCCTGCAGCCAGCATGGAGGCTGTTACAGATTCTCTCCACTCGCCCTGAGGGTATAAAGGGCTTTGGTAGCTTTGGAACTGGATGTTTGCTGCACAGCCCAGCTGAGCGTTGGTGACAGTTTTCAAACTTGCATCCCGAAACGTGGCACGAGAGAGAATAGCACCACGCTGAAGCCCGGAGATACCGAAACGTCTTTCCATCCCTCTCCGTAGCAAGGAATCGACATGCGCTTAAAGCCCCATGGCAGCACAGAGCTCCCAAAGATCAGGACCCCCCGTCACACTGCAACGGGAGTGCAGGAGAGGAGTGTCTGTGCCAGGGGAAGCAGCTGGGAAAGATCTGGCGTATCTGCTCTGCCCGCTCCATTCCCAAACAGCCCCGACCCCTGGGTTTGCTGCCAGTGGGAGACACGCACCCCCAGAAGAGCAGGGGAATGCCAGGCCAATCTGTGCTGTTTACTCCAAGCCCGGATTTGTGATGGGAAGAGCAGAGCTTAGCCCCGTCCCTGCGAAATGCCGCTGTGCCTGGACTGACAGATGCATTTCACATGTCTGTCCCGGGCTGGCAAAGCGAGGGGCAGGGCGTGTTATTTGGGCGATGGTTCGTGAGCACAGACATGGGCTGGGTGAGGGACTGGGTGCCCCCAGCGCCCTAAGGAATCCTTCCTGGGAGGAAGAGGAGTGTGAGGTAGGGCTGCCCCTCACCAGTTTGTCCAGGCTTGTAGACATCCTTGTCTGTCTGCACCAAGGTCCCCAGCTCCAGGGCCTTCACCAGTACTTTCTTCTGCTCAGAGACCTGCAGGGAACCTGCCTGGATGGAGACGTGAAGATGTGCCACCTCGTAGATCACTGCAGGAGGGGTAGAAATCTTCCCCCCGGGAAAACAGCAGAAATGGTTGCAAAGACTTTATGTTGGATGCCAGTGAGAACATCATACCCATCCCCCACCGTCACCACCCCGTTGCCCCATGAAGGCACCAGGGAACTGGTGTGCATGGGAAGATGACACAGATACAGCCCACAAAGTCTCCGTACATGCCTCATGTCCCTCCACTCTTCACCTCACTCGTTGCCCATCCAGGATGGACCCCATGTCCCCTCCCAGTGCCCCCAGCCCGGCTCTGGCAGTGGGTAGGGGATGGATACCCCTTCCCGAGGTTCTCAGCCCTGCCAAGGGGCCGTGACTCACGTTGGAGAAGCGGGGCCAGTTCAGCCAGAGGCTATGGCTGCCCTGCTCCTCCAGGGTGACGGTGGGGATGCCGTGGCTGCTCGCCGGGCGGAGGGTCACCCACACGGGCTCGTCCGGGTCCATGAGGTGGACGCGCACTTTGCCCATGTATGGGTAGTAGAGCAGGGAGGGGAAGAGCACCATGTAGTGCCTGGGGAGGGGGACACCTCGGTAGTGGAGGGGGACACCTCGGTAGTGGAGGAGAGCTGGGACCCCCCATCAAATCCCAGTGCTCCCCTCCACTCCAGACTCTCAAGGCAGAGGGCACTTGGGTTTTTTCCAGCCCTGGATGCTCTCTGCAGGGCGATGCCACCCAGCCTTCCCCACATCTACCCAGGGAGGCTGGCCAGCGCGCAGACCAGAGCAGAGCCCCCTTTGCCTAAACACCTTGGGAAAGAGCTGAGGGGGCGATCTGTGGAGGGAGGGAAGGCTTTGCTCACCCAGTGGCTTGTGTGTGATGTTGCACCTACACCAAAGCAGCCCAGAGACACCAACCCCAGGTGCAAAGACCTCTATGGGGACAACCACCACCCCCAGCATTTCCACCATGACCAGCGACCACAGTCACGGCAAGGATTGTCACGCCACTGAGACCAACCACCATCCCACCAGGCACGGACAGGCAGACACAGAGAGCACTTACGGCTTTGTAGATGCTCCAGCTGTGAGGTAGAGGATGCAAAGCAACAGGCAGGGCATGCTTGGAGGACCAGTGGAAGCAAGGTGGTCCCAGAGCCCCCCTGCTGAGTCTTCTTCCTCTCCTCAATCTTTCACCTCCCCGCTGGCAGCAAGCAAAAGCCAGCAAGGTCTCTGGCTGGGACCTGGCCATCCAGCTAGGACAATGTTTAACCACCAGACCCAAGCTTTGCTGGGTTCAAGGCTCAGGGCAGCCAAACCATACCCATGGTGGTGGCACCGCCGAGCCAGCTCAGAGCTGACAGACTAAACCGCACGTAGGGAGCCCTGGCAGGAAGGAAGGGAATAAAGGGGCTTTCTGGGAAATGAGGTCCTTCATGTGCACGCTGCCTTTGACCATCTCCACTTGACAGTTCCTGATCCGGTGAGTTGTTACTCATGGGAAGCCTCTTTTCTGTTGCTAATATTTTTGCCTAGTGATACCCATCTGTGTCGACGATTGCCATGGTTTTGCAGAATTTCCTCCATAACGAGCCAGCCACTCCCGAGAGCGGGAACAATGCCAAACCAGAGCACCGTGCCCTTGCTTGGCCATGGTTTGCACATCTTCTTTGAAGATGGGAGGTGAAGCCTGCCCACCCCGCTCCCAGCACTGGGGACAGCCACACACTGCTTCTCTCCCTGCCATACCGTCACCCTGGGGTGGCTGGGACAGGAGCTGCTCAGCTGGGAAGGATGCCCAAAGCCCTGCCTGGCTGCAGGGAACAGGCCAGGGGAGATGGTAGCTGGTGGATGGGTCTGATTGTGCCATGGTCTGGAGGCCATGGGGAGGTCCCTCCTGCTCCGGGTGGGCATAATCCAGGAACCTCTGCCCTCTGAGGGTTTTGGGCTTTAATGGATGTTCTTCCTGTGCACTTACTGCTTGTCCCTAAGGCAGGGAGAGGTCTACCATTGGGACAGACCTAGTCCACCCCAGTGTAACTCTCACCCTGCCACATGCTCTTCACACCATCCAACGCTGCACTCCACGGAGAAGCTGTGGCGTCCATAGGGATGCTCCACGTGCAGTGATGCAGGCACCCTGCATGGCCGTAAGGAGACGTATCCCCCTCCCCACAGCACCCGAGACGCAGGCAGGACACCGTCCACACACACCACCAGGTATGGGCTGTTTAATCTTGCACCCTTGTCTCATAGTTCAGCATGAAGGATGCTTCTTCCCACGTGGCAACATCCCCTGGACCTTCTGCCCCCCCCCGCAAGCCTCACGCTGGACCCCTCCCCAGAGCCGGCTGTATCTGAGCAGCATTGCCAGCTTGCAGGAGCCTCTGGAAGAGGCAACCCAGCAAGCCCACGGATGAACCCCACTGCAAGTCGCACCATCAGGGGTGGAAAATGGTGCAGTGAACCCCCAGCCCTGCCTGGCACATCTCTCCCCCCCCAGCCAGCGGGGCAGGCAGGAGCCATCCAGGCAGTCGGGGCTTGCTACCCGGGGCCAGGCACAGCGCCAGGTTTGGGGGAGACAGGCAATGCCCTGGGGAGGGGATGCACAGTCATAGCAAGGGGTTTCTGGGGACATCTTGCACTGGTTTTGGGGTGCTGCCTGGTCCCCGTCCTTCACTGCTCTGCTTCCCCTTGCACCAGGGCACCGTCCTGCTCTTGCAATCTGCCGGGGCGGTGGCAGGTCTGGTGGACACATCCGCAGGGGACAAGGAGACAGCATGGCCCAGCCTCTGGCTGGGCCACCTCCCTTACGTCCCCAAGGGGCTCGGTCCCTCTGCCTAATTGCTGGTCCCGGTTGTGTCCTCCTCGCACTGCGGGCTGCCCATCCCCCTGCCAGCACCGGCCCCAGCACCACGTGGGAGCGGAGGCTGCTCAGGGTGCTGGTCCCCACAGTGATTTGCAGCCATCTCGGCGAGGGCATCAGCCATGGCCTGGCGGACAGTCTCTGTCAGTTCGGGGACATCCTTTGCACTCAGGCCCTGGGTTTCTACCTTGGGGAGGATTCGGATGGTGCACGTCCCTGGCGAGAGAAGGGGAAGGCCGGGGATGCTGTTAGATGAACCCACCAGGAACCAGGTCTGCCCACCAGCACCCTCCACCAGCAGCTGCCTCTTCCCCA